ATAAGTTGAAAAGCTATTGGGTTGTCGGAAAAGTCGTGACGTGTTTTTCTATGCAAAAATGTGTCATGACTTTCCTGACGACCCACTATAACGCATGACTTTCCAAGTGTGGTCCCCAGACCAGGGGCATCAGCGTCACCTGGGAATTTGTTCCAGATGCAAATTCTTGAGCCACGCTCCACACCTAACTGCACCAGCAAACACAGTGGGGAACTGGCAATGTACCCATTAACAAATCTGAATTTAACATGTAGGAAATATACTTTCAGCCGCTTGACACATTTACAGATATTGACCATATACCTGACAACAAAGGAACTGAAGCAAATTCTTTATTACATTGGGCTAGGACTTGCTGGTGCCACATTTTAATTTTACCGGCATGGTTAACATGGAGAAAACCTGGAGGAACGTGTCTGAAGAGCTGGCTTATGGTGAATCTTATCAACCCACCTCTTCATCATTAAGAAGCAAGTTTCCATCTCCTACAACTCCTAATCTATGGATTAAATCAAAGGTACCTTAGTTTAGATAGTTTGAAACGAATACTGTATTCCACAGATGAACAGGAACTTTGTACTTGGCACTGAATGAAATCCCAAGAACTTCAGATGGAATAGATCAGGAAGAACCTGCTCTTAACTCAGAAATTCCTAACTGATAAGACTCTTCATAGCAAAAGAGATGCAGAAATATAAAAAGAGATCGCCTGTTTGTTTCCTGTGTTACTGAGATCACCGGGAAATATATTGGGCATTGAAAAGTCATGATGCATTTTTGCATAGAAAAGTACATGTCTTTCCAGCCTGATTTAATAGATTCCCCAACTCCTTGTTTTCTAACTAAAGAGAGTATTAATCAGCCTGGAAGAGTAATTTGAAAACTCAAAACTATTTCAGAAAATAAATTATTTCCTGCTTCACATTTCGCTGATACTTTATTCTAAACTAAGTAATTTTTTATTTTTATCTTTCTGCTGAAGTGTCCACAAATTGAGGAAACTAATGTCACATAGGTTATGTTCACTGACTCAAATGCTTAGCAAACAATCCTTTAAAAATCCACACGTGGGGACCAGCAGTTAGCATAATGGCTATGTTGCTGGACTCCCATGTAGTCGACCACGCTGTGAGTCCCAGACTTGGTGGCTTAAACTCATGTTGGGCACGTGTGCGTGCGTGCCCAAGATCCCAAGAGGAGAATGAAGGAGAGGGGATTGCAGCATGGCCATCCCCCCTATGGGGTGCTTTCTCACTTTCTGTCTGTCTCTGTCTCTGTCTTTCTAGCGAGTGCATGCACCCTACAGTAAAAACCTCTCCCAAAAAAAAGAAAGAGAGAAAGAAAAAAAAAATCCACATATGTGAAAAATATGAAACACACACTCTAAAAAATAAATAAAAACTTTGTAGACTGGTGACAAATGAAACTTAGCAGAAGAATATACAAATAAACTGGCATATTTATAGCTTAAAATGAATAAAAGTTACATGGATAGATGTCAAGCTAGTATCAAGCAAATATGGGAAAATGATTTATATGAATTTTGAAAACACACAAAACAGTATTATGTTGTCTACAGAAACACACATAGGTTTTATTTAATATGAAATTAAATGAAAAACTTCAACTTCAGTGCAGTGGCTACCTGTGGAGAGGAAAGGAAATAGGATCAGGGAGAGATATAGAACGAGACTACAAAATGTTGATGGAAAAAATGAAATTAAAGCATGAATTTATTCTGACAAAAAAAAAACTGAGACCTGTATCATTTTTTTTCATAATACACATTTTCTATTAACTTTCTGAAAACCCATCCTACAAGATGCAATGGCACCTGTTTTCTTTCTTTTATAAAAAGTCTAGAGCCAGCCTTTCGTCTGTGATTTAGGGTGGCTGGATCCCATAGTTTGAACCCAGACCCGAGACTTGAGAAACACGGTAGGCCTGTGTGTACATGCCCCAAATCCCCAGAGAAATGGAGAAGGGACTGTGGCAGAAGCACACCCACGAGCGTGCTTTCTCTCTCCCCCTCTCCCTCTGGTGCACATACAGGTCCTTCTGGCAAAATTTTAAAATCTCAAGCGAACATGAAAAAAATGTTATGACTTGATAGAGGGGGATAATTTTTGTCTTTTATATTCTGTACTTTACGTATTTGAAATAATCATGACTTTGGGACCAGCAGGTGGTACATGGTTAAGGTACTGGACTCCCACACGGCCGACTGTGGTTCGAGTCTCTGAACTGGTGGGGCTTGAGACTCACACCGGGAACATGGTATGTGAGTGTCCAAAATCCTGAGAACGTAGAAGGGACGTGGTATGGCCGCAATCACCTGGGGGGTGATTTCTCACTTTCCCTTCTCCGTATCTGTCTGTCTCTCTCTCTAGCAAGCACACACACCCTATGGCAAAATCCTGAAGAAAAAAAAATATTCATGACTTTTTTTTTAGCTGAGAATTTAAAGACAACAAATCCCTATATGTCAAAGATACAAAGAAGTCCTAGAGGAAAATTTATAACTAAAGTGGATTTATTAGAAAACAAAAATTGAAAACCAATTAATTATGCTGTACAAATTGACAAATAGCAAAATAAACTCAAAGTAAAAAGAATGAAAAGTATAAAAGCAAATCAACTGAATATAAAGCAAAATAGTGGCATATTTTTTCCTGTTTTTCTATGTGAAATGCATCATGACTTGTCTGACAGCCCACCATGTTTGCAACGTTATCCGAAACCGTGGGAAGAATTACCAGGCCAGAGTAGCGGTTCTCAGAACTCCTTTAGAGCTCTAAAAGCTCCTGGTTTTGTTATATGTGTCAGTATTCACTGTACTAGGAATTAAAACCAAGACTATTTTAAATGTTCACTAACTAAAGTAATAAGATAATGAATATGTTTTTCTGAACTGTAACTTCATTTACCGAAACAACCAAAAAGATCGGGTGGGAGGAGTGCCACTGCTTTACATACTGCAGATCTCTTTAATAACTGGCTTAGTAGAAGACAACTGCTTCTGCACCTGCTCTATAATCGTATGCTGTCTTGGCTGAAGCACGTGAAGGAAATCTGGTCTCAAAGATACGTTCTTGAAAAAAAATGAGCAGCCATTTCAGATAATTGTGGATATCGATACTACAGCCAAACTCAACATAATTTCTTGAAGATGAATCACAATATGGAGTTTGAAACTCCAATAAACTTTTTGCGTTGCTAAGTTAAAATCCATTGATTTGGGACCAGCAGTTGGCATAATGGCTATGTCACTGGACTCCCATGTAGTCGACTGTGGTTCGAGTCCCGGACCCGGTGGCTTAAACTCACACCAGGTCCATGTGCGTGCATGCCCAAGCTCCTGAGAGGAGAAGGGATTGTGGCGTGGCCAACCCCATGGAGGGTGATTTATTTCTTTCTATCTCTCTCTGGCGAGCACATGTGCCCTACAGCAAAAACCTCTCAAAAAAAAAAAAAAAAAAAAAAGCCAAAAACATTGGTTTATCTTGCTATTTGAAGATATCTTTAGCCCATGCCTGACTGTAACACTGTGTACAGTCTGGAAATACTGGTTTACTGAGTTATACAGATCTGCCAAATGCTGACACGTTTCATTCTGCTTACCAAAAAATCCACATCCATTACTATCACTACATTCTCATCAGAAGCCATTTTTACGTGATTCTGATAATACTGTTACTAGGAGTGAGTGGTGGTGAGAAGACATCGTTCAGGCCTGAGGCAGCCTAAATCCCAAGCCAGTCATCACTGGCCAAACAGCTTCCTCAGTTTATTCCTACATGCTTTAGAAATACTATTGGGTTGCATGTGCTATGAAGTGAAACGGTTAGACCATGCCAGTGTATCTACAAGCTCTAACAACAAACTTAACCCACTCGTTTTTTAAAGTATTTGAGCACACTAGGTGCCAGGCGCTTTCTCAGGGCCTGATATACTGCAAAGGGCTCAAGAGATGGTTCCTGCTTGTCCCGGAGCTTACTTTGTAGTAGGGAGAAGAGGGGCAGCAAACAGTGTGCCTAAGTCCGTCTCAGAATACTAAGGATCACACGCGAGAACGAAGCTGAAAAGAGGAGGCAGGAAGGATACTGGACAGTCAGGAAACAGCTCACGAGAAAAATGAGATTTAAATAATTTTGAAATGGCGAAGGAATAAGCCAAAGTTGGCACCTGGCAGCAGAGTTCTCTAAGCGGAGAGAACACAAAGTGCCAGGGCTCTGTGGAAGAAGCATCACTACCATACGCAAGACACAGCAAGGACCACAGGTAGCCCAACAGATGCTTCAGTACTCAAGGCACAAGAGATGGTCGATGGTTTTCAGCATCTAAAAAGATCAGTGTTTTCATCCTTTATTATTTTGGAAAAAAATTTTGAATGAAAAGCAGATGTAAACTGTGTGACATAGTACCTGAAAAAGGAAATTAAAAAGTTAATTGTTACTGGGACCAGCAGTTAGGGTAATGGCTATGTCGCTGGACTCCCACGTAGTTGACCGTGGTTCGCATCCCAGACCTGGTGGCTTAAAACTCATGCCAGGCGCGTGTGCGTGCGTGCCCAAGATCCCGAGAGGAGAATGGAGGAGAAGGGATTGCGGTGTGGTCATTCCCCCTGGGGGGTGATTTCTCGCTTTCTGTCTCTCTGTCTTTCTCTGTCTGGCGAGCGCACGCACCCTATAGCAAAAATCTCTCCAAAAAAAGAAAAAAAAAAGTTAATTGTTAAAAAAAAAAAAAAACCTGCAATAAATACACAAAGGCTGAGTTCCTCTTCCTGATGCCTGCCCATCCTCTCTGCAGCCCACAGCATGCCTGGGCATATTTCACTTTGCACAGAACCAGAGGAGACTCATAGTTCCAGCTAGAAAGGTAAGATACGCAACAAAGCCTATCTATCCTGTACAGTGGTTGCGATTATAATTGTATTCTAAATTAGGTTGATCTGTAGTGTGAATGAAATCTCTTAAAGTTCAATGAACAGTAGAAAAAAGTCAAGTTTGAATAATAAGCATCCCTTTATTTGCTGACGTCATTACAAAAACTGATTACATTAGCAACAAAAAAGTGTTTTCTTGAGTTGAAGTCAGAGGCAGTTACTCCCCAAAATGTTAAGTAAAACAGTGTACAACATCAGTATTAAAATGTTAAATTTTACATCATCTTTACCACTGTGATCTTCTGAACAATTTTATTGAGCAAAATAAGATAAAAGATTACAGGTTTATTTCATCTTCAGGAATGTAAAGGTCTAATTATTCAAACAGTTTTTATTATAAAACTAAACTCTGAAGGTGTCTACAGAGTTGGCTTTTGTTTTTCTCCTCTCTTTAAATCAGTAGTCTAACAAGGATTAGAAAAGACAAAACTCTGTTCAGTGTTTCTGACAAAGTAGAAAGGGTGAAACATAAATAAGGCTTTAATTTGGCAAAATATAATACAATGCCTTCTGTTATTCTCGAATGAACAGTTCCCCGATCACTTCACTCTGTAAAAGATCAGAAATAATTCATTTTAAAATAAAGCAACAAAAAGCAATCAGAAGACATTTGTCAAACACCAAAAGTACATATTCTACTTTATCTAGAACGGCCCTTTCAACTAGATTCAAAACAATTCCCAATAATGGTAATTGAAACAGGAGAAAAATCTCAGAATTTCGAAGAACCTTCTAGGTAAAGGTCTTAAAATGTGAGCCAAATCCTGTCAGAACACACGCAGGAGAATACTGGAATCCATTTCATTAGCACTACCTGAACAGGTATAAAGCCCAGGTGACTGAGAGGCACTGCAGGGGAACTGAAATTACCACTCTCTATCCCTGAACAAGTCCAGTCCGGACATGCATTTTCTGAGGTCAGATGAAGCTTTCCCAATCATATAAGATGACTAAATAGATAACACTTCAAAGTCATCAGAGAGAGAAAATGACTTACTCAAGTGATGCCATATGGAAATTTTGATTTGGATACTGGTTTTAGAAAAACAGCTAAAAAGCTATTTCTTGAATTGAAGTCAGAGGCAGTTACTTCCCAAAATGTTAAGCAAAAACCAAACAGCGATTTGACTACAAGTGGGGAAATTTGAAGATGTCTTTAATACTGGATATTAGAACTATTATTATACTTTTGGGATGTGATAATGGTACTGGGGGGGCTGGTAAAATTGCCTTGTTTTCAGAAGATGAATGCTAGAAACCTGGAAATAAAACTCCATAGTGGACCAATGGGCGGTGTGGAGGTTGTGTTGGATCCCACATGGTCGACTTTGCAGTTCAAGTCCTGGACCCGGGGCTTGAAAAACACATTGGGTGCGTGTCTGTGCAATAGAAGACAGGGACTGTGGCATGGCCATCCCCTCTGCGGGGTAATTTCTCACTTTCCTTCTCTGTCTGTCTCTGGCCAGCACACGTGACCTATAGCAAACCAAAAATATTAAAATAAAATAAAATGTTCTGAAGACTGAAATGTTACTTTCAAATGGTTTAACATCAATCAAATATGTATAGACAAGGAGAGATGAGGCAGGTGCAAAGTTTTATGGTGTTACACTATTCTTTCAACTTTATATAAAAATTTTCAAAAATAGGGAGAGAAGCAATTAAAGTTTAAAAGCAAAGTTATCACTGGCTGTCACTTTCCCCTTTCAAACCAAGATTAACAGCCGATCTGAAAGTCTAGGGCCAGCCCCATAGCTCAGTAGTTAAGCTCGGTACATTGGGAGCCAGATCCCACATGGCTGATCTTAGTTTGGATCCCAATCCCAGGGGTTTGAAAAACATACTGGCACAAGAGACCAGCAGGTGGCATAGTGGTTAAGGCACTGGACTCCCACATGGCTACTTGACCACCAGGTCAAGCCCAGACCTGGTGGCTTGAAAATCATGCCAGGTGTGTGTGCATGCATGTCCAAAATCCAGAGAGGAGAATGGAGGAAAAGAGAATGCTGGTGGCCGTCCCCCAGGGGGTGTTGATTTATTACTTTTCCTCTCTCTGTCTTTTCTGGCAAATGCACACACACTATGGCAAAAACCTAAAAAAGAAAGAAAAAAAAAAAAAGCACACAGCAGGCAGTGTGTATGTGTACCCCAACCTACCCTGATGGGATGGGGGAAAGGAGTATAATGTGGCTGGGCATCATGGGGGCTGCTCTCTCTCTGTGTTGAGCACATATACCCTCTGGCAATTAAAAAAAGCCTTCAGAGACCAGCAGATGTTGTAATGGTTATGTCGCTGGACTCCCACATAACTGACCACAATTGGAGTCCTGGACCCGGCAACTTAAACTCATTCTGGGTGAATGTACGTGTGTGCCCAAGATCCCAAGAGGAGAAGGGACTACAGCATGGATTTCTCACTTTTTGTCTGTCTCTCTCAGTGTCTCCAGCGAGCGCACATGCCCTATAGCAAAAATCTCTCTTTAAAAACAAAAAAAAAGAAGCCTACATAGCCTACTAATATATTAAACTCTGAAGTGCTATGTAAACACATTACAGAAGATAAAAGCCTGATCCACATGATGGCCCAAGTGTTAGGTATAGGAATAAAAGGTTATTTTTCTCTGTAATATTAAATTTTGTATTCGATATAACTATGAAAGAATTTTTGCTTTCCCAGAAACAAAACATAGCTGAATCATAAAGGGATCTGTCTCTCAAAGAGAGTGCAAACATATAACACACATACAGAGCTTCACCTCAATTTTTTCTGGACAATACTGTAAACTTTTCCAATTTGCTATCGACAAACCAAAGAGCAACTTTAGGAAAAAGTCAGAATGTACTGAAGAATTTCCTGAGTCTGGCAACAAAAAATTAGAAAGCATGAGAAGGAAAGAAAGCAGTGACAGAGATTAGGGCATAGAGTTAGGGAAAAGAAAAACACTGATGAAGAGGCCGAAGACTCTGGACCCAGGCCACCTGGATTTAAACTCCAGCTCACCCAGTAACTAGTTTGATCTTGGGCAAGTTAAAGAATCTCTTTAGGTCTACTGTAAAATGGAATGAACAAGAATAATAATAATAATAATAATGCCTACCTACCTACTGCACAAGGTTGCTGTGAAGGTTAAGTGAGTTACCACATATGAGAAGCAGGCTTATGGGCATACTCATGATCTATCTGCTATCAAAATTATCATCCTCCCCCCAAACACGTCCACAAACTAGTTCCAAGGTAAGAGAACCTAAGATAATAAAGTTTTCTGATTTGGTCAGAAATAGAACACTTAGGACCAGCAGTTAGCGTAATAGCTATGTTGCTGGACTCCCACGTAGTCGACCGTGGTTCACGTCCTGGACTCGGTGGCTTAAACTCACGCCGGGCGCGTGTGCGTGCGTGCCCAAGATCCCGAGAGGAGAATGGAGGAGAAGGAATTGTGGCGTGGCCATCCCCCCTGGGGGTGATTTCTTGCTTTCTGTCTCTCTGTCTCTCTCTGTCTGTCAGGCGAGTGCACGCGCCCAATAGCGAAAACCTCTCAAAAAAAAAAAAAAAACCCCCAAAAAAAAAAAAAAAAAAAAAAAAAAAAAGAAAGAAAGAAATAGAACACTTAGAAGACAGGCAAATGTAAATGTAAAACAAGAAAAAGTAGATATCTGGGAACAAAAAAGAAGTACACTATAAAATACCAGTGATACCAATCTGTACAGAAGCCGTCTTAATCATTACCTCCTACAAACCCCCAAAAGAAACAGAAGGATGGCAGCCTTATTTCTGTGGTGGAGCTGGGGTGGCACTGAAATAGGAAAGAAGGCTCCCAAAAGAAAATAAAGGTTAAGGTTTTTACAAATTAAGGATATAAAGTAAATATACTCATCCCTTCCACTCTCAGAAATGTTAAATACCATGTATTAAAATTTTAAAAAGCTAAATTACCTCATATCACTTATCATTTTTGTTTTTAAAAACGGCTCTCAAATATGTGTAGCATTATCTTAAACAATTCATAAATACTTGTACAAAAAGAAGTTTGACATCAGAAATTAACCTATTATTAACTATATTCTGATGATTAAGAAATATATATCTTGGGACCAGCAGTTAGCATAATGGCTATGTCGCTGGACTCCCACGTAGTTGAATGTGGTTCGAGTCCCAGACCCGGTGGCTTGAACTCACACTGGGCGCATGTGCGTGCGTGCCCAAGATCCCGAGAGGAGAAAGGAGGAGAAGGGATTGCAGCGTGACCATCCCCCCTGGGGGGTGATTTCGCGCTTTCTGTCTCTCTCTGTATGGCGAGCACACGCGCCCTATAACAAAAACCTCTCCAAAAAAAGAATATATATATATATATATATCTTCAATTTAATCATACAGTTGTAGTTTTAAAAGAGTACAAAGGAGGGAGAATACACAGAGCAACAACAAGGGCTGAGCACAGAAAACTGAGGGTAATACAAACATTTGAAGGGTCTAAAGAAGAGGTCCAAGAGCCAGCCAAGGCACACATACACAAGGGAGAGCCATCGCCACCTATGCTGCCAGGGCGCAGGGAACGGAGACCAGGGCCAGTGCACCGCTTCATGCAATGCAGCCTATCCTTACCCTTCGTGGTGGGCTACTGCCAACCACCCTTCACTAGCCAAATTTGGACTTAAGTCCATCAGCTGACAGAAGAATAGAGTGTTATCCTTGTCAAATAGCAGTTCAGTTTCAGCTGGGTTGTCACAGTATATATATTTATTTGAACAAATTACCACTCTTATAAATCAAGGAAGAAAAAAATCTGAACAATAAAGGTGCTATTACCAAGGATTATAAAATGTCAAGTGTAATATGATTAAAGCAAGTGTGGAAGTAGACAACCCAAAAACTCATTCCTAAGATTTAGAATGAGGAGACTATATATTTAGGAAGAAAAATAAAATAATAAAGAACATTTATGGAGTGCTGAAGAGAGAACACTTGATGAAGTCTAAAGGCAAGGGTCAAATGAGTGGTCTTACAATATTTTAAGATCTCTAAAAATGAAACCCTTCCCTTATAACACAAAGCCCTACTAACCAACATCAGCATATTCAGCATATTCCATAACTGCTTCTTGGTATCTTCTTATATGCCAAAGAAGGGCCTGTACTAGATCTTGCAATTAGGAAAACATTAATGACATTAGCAAAAGTTTCACTGAAATGGAAGGAAAAGAAGCCACTCTACAGTGGACAGAAGAATCAACGACAGATAAAATAGTAGATACAGGGCTGGCCTGAGGTGCCGAGGGGGCCTACTGTGCTTCAAACCCTGGCCCCGTCGGCTCGGAAAAAACATCCCAGGCGCATGTTCTCCAGGCAAGGATCCTGATGGTGAACAGGAAGCCAGGATATCTTGTTATTTGGGAGAGAGCGAGGAAATCTGATAGAAGTTCAACTCTAGGAAATTGGGGAGGTCAGCTCACCAAGAATCAAAGACTGAGATGAAGTATTAATTACTTCTGCTGATATACTGAGGAATAAGCTGGGTTAATAATCTGGAAAGTTTTCTTAGAGGTAATTGGCCTAAGTTACTGTTTTAAAAGAGAATATATGCTAATGCTAAGGTTGGCTAGAGAACCATCATCCTGTAAAAGTGAGACAGAATGCCCCGTAACATCAAAATGGAAGCCCATGCCAACTTTTCCAAGATATTTAACCTCCCTCCCCAAGGGCTCTGTAAGCCCTCAGTCTTACAGTACGGATTCTGAAAGGGACAATCCAATGATGAGTTACCCTTTGGATCTCTACAATAACATGATCATTTTAAGAAAGGAGTCTCAAAAGAAGAATATCTGAAGCATTCAGTGTATAATTGAATTCTCTACCCTAGGCAGTGTTACTTGTCATTCATAACACAGGTAAAACCCAGGTAACAAAATAAATAAAATAATAATAAACAAAGCTACACTCACCAACTGAAATACAAGTCATTTTTAAATGCTAACAGAGCTGAACTTTCCGAGGTAACATAGACAATTAAAACTCAAAACATGATTTGGATACTGATGGGTTTATTTATCCTTGATTCAAAGTTCTCAATTCAGGAGTTAAATAATGGGTTCACAGATCACCTAAAGAAGTAAACATAAATAAAACCCAGCTTCTAGTTTAAAGAAATCATGATGACTTGGGACCAGCAGTTAGCATAATGGCTATGTCGCTGGACTCCCACATAGTCAACCGTGGTTCAAGTCCCGGACCTGGTGGCTTAAACTCATGCTGGGTGCGTGTACGTGCGTGCCCAAGATCCTGAGAGGAGAATGGCGGAGAAGGGATTGCGGCGTGGCCATCCCCCCTGGGGGGTGATTTCTCGCTGTCTCTCTGTCTCTCTCTGTCTGGCAAACACACGCGCCCTATAGCAAAAACTTCTCAAAAAAAAAAAAAAAAATCATGATGACTTGATTTTCAGCCCAGTAATCTTATCTTAGTAAAAATGTATGGTCAATTTAACTTAATGAGTCATTAAAAAAAAGGAAGGAAGAATACACACAGATACTTTACCTAAGATCAGAATAAACTAACAAAGCAGTTACAGGTATGGCAATGAACAAAAACTTAGGTAACGATTAAAAATAAATAAATAAATAAAGTCAAAGCAAAGATAGAGCTTTTCTTAGTTCTCCAAGCTACCGTATTTTCAAAACACAAGCTGAAAATAAAACTAAGAAAGCTAAAAAACGTCACCAGGACGTTCTGAAAGAGATAAAAAGAAAGTATTTCCTGCAGTGAAATCAAAGTTTCCTTTATTTATGGTAAATACAAATTATACATACACACATACACACACTATGTCAATCACCTATAGACAAACACTAGTACTGGAGAGTTTTCCTTACCTAAAACCTGGTAGTGTTCTACTTTGTGAGCTGTTGGTTTACGGACTGAAGCAACTTCTGTAAATATGTTACCGTCTGATTTAAACTTAGAGATAGTGTCTCCTTCTCAGAAGACTCCTAGAAAGTAAGGTGGAAGTGATGAAAAAACTCCAAACAGGTGGAAAAGTAATTTGTAACCAAAACCAGAAACATTTTATTGTTCTAAGACTATCACAAATAAACTCATTTTTTTCTTTCAGCAAAAATAAAGAACAAAACTCACCCACCTAAGAATGTATCCCTAACAATAAAAATAAGTTAACATGTATTAACGCCTGACTAAATGCTGGACACTGTTGCAAGTTTTACCCATTAATCCAAGGATTTTTTTTATACTAACTCATTCCTTTTAACAGCCCTACAAAATACTTAAGATTATCATTATCTTTTACAGCTGGGGCAATTAATGGACAGAGCAGCTAAGGAATTTACTCAAAGTCACCTAGCTACAAAGTAGCAGGGCCAGGATTCAAACATAGGCAGTCTTGATCCAGACTCTCTATACTCTTAAGCAATATACCCTAATACCTCTAAACACAAACCTTAAAATGCGCATAACTAGAACCAGCAGATGGTGTAATGGTTATGTCACTGGATTCCTATGTATTAAAATCATGCCAGGCATGTGTTTGTGCGTGTGTGTATGTGCATGCCCAAAATCCCAAGAGAAGGGATTGTGGCATGGCCATCCCCCTGCCCTGAGGGGGGGAATCTCTTGTTTTCTGGCTGTCTCTGTCTCTCTGGCAAGTACACATACCCTATAGCAAAAATCTCTCTTAAAAAAAAAATGCACATAATATCTTACATGAAAGCCAAAATTAAAAACACTGCATTTTAGAGAGAGGCTATTTTGATGAAAATATCACTTAGTGCAATATAAACTATAAAAGTACATTTTTTCTAGTCAGAGATGGCTCCTGTACATTTTTATTATTTGCATATTTACAGGATAATTAGCCCAATGATTTGAGATTAATGAAAATGCATACCATTTCTGGGAAAACATCACTATTTCCAATAACAGCAGTGTCTTCAGCATCTTTTACTATTTTTGACTGGATAAGATCCAGTGACTCTTGGGCCTACAAAGAAACCAATATGGCAGCTTTTAAACAATACATCAATAAATCAACAAATGCAAAATTAGTGATTTTGTTACATATTTTGTATAAGATTAAAACCTCCTGTCAAAATACTATGTAAAGTTTTTACTCCAAAATTAAAATAAACATCTCCCATTAGATTACAAGAATGTGTGTGCTATGCTCATTGTTTTAAGAAGTTCAAACAATACAGAAACTGTTTAAAGAAATGAAAAATATAAATACCAGAGGCCAGGAGGTGGTATAGTGGTTAAGGCACTAGACTCCCACATGGCTGACTGCAGTTTGAGTCCCAGACCTGGCAACTTGAAAAATCACACAAGGCATGTGAGAGTGTGTGTGTTTCCAAATACCAGGAAATGGAGGAGAAGGGATTGTGGCATGGCCATCACTCCTAGGAGGTGATTTCTCACTTTTCCTCTCACTGGCTCTCTCCAGCAAGTATACATGCCCTATAGCCAAAAAACTTAAAAAGAAAAAAAAAAGAAAAAAAAAAAACCACAAAACCCAGAAATACCACAGTTGGTATTTTGGTTAACATAAGTCTACATTAGGGGAAAGCCAAAAATGATACATAATCTGTTTCTGTACAACTCTCAAACTAGAAATGGTTTTTACATTTTTAAAGGATTATGTTTTAAAAGAAGAAAGTCTGCCTTTTTCAAAGGAAGAAAGGAAGGAAGGAAGGGAGGAAGGAAGCGAGGGAGGAAGGGAGGAAGTAAATTTAAGAGAGACCATAGCTAGCTCACTTACCCTAAAATTGTTTACTGTTTTTTTTTTTTTTTTTTGGAGAGATTTTCACTGTAGGGCGCGTGTGCTCGCCAGACAGACAGAGAGAGACATAGAGACAGAAAGCGAGAAATCACCCCCCAGGGAGGATGGTCACGCCGCAATCCCTTCTTCTCCATTCTCCTCTCGGGATCTTGGGCACGCACGCACACACGCCCGGCGTGAGTTTTTTAAGCCACCGGGTCCGGGACACGAACCGCGGTCGACTACATGGGAGTCCAGTGACATAGCCATTACGCTAACTGCTGGTTCCCTTTACTGGTGTTTGACCCCTAGGTCTAAGTTCCCTTCCGAGTATACTGAGTGCTTCTAGAAAACTGGCCAAAATTTTACGCAAAGGGCTGAACATACAAACTGTCTTATACATGCCTGTTTTCAAAGTACTTTATTTTTTAGAGAGTTTTTTGCCTTAGGGCACATGGGCTTGCCAGAGAGAGAAAGAGACAGAGACAGTGAGAGGGAAAGTGAGAAATCATCCTAGAGGGGAAATGGCCACGCTGCAATCCCTTCTCCATTCTCCTCCTAGGATCTTGGGCATGCACAAACACACATCCAGAGTGAATTTCAAGCCACCAGGTCCAGGACTTGAATTGCTGTCAGCCACGTGGGATTCCAGTGATGTAACTGCTGTGCCATCTGCTGGTCCCACAAAGTGCTTTAGCTTTTTCCAGTCAACAAATATTTAAGTGCATTTCTACCAAAAGCTGCACGGTATTTCTACTGTACAGAGCGGGCAATGAGCAGGCACACACCATCACCATTGTAGCCATCATAAACAACATGGCTTATACATATCTTTAAGCCCCTACTTACTAACCTGAAAGTATTTTCCAAAAACTACATTGCTAAGCTAAAACTGCACGTATTAAAATTTTGGCCCAGAGGTCAAAAATTAAAATCATGTATCAAAGAAAACTGACTGCTCAAACTTGACAGTATACCAAATCTAGAAATCTGTGCTCTAAAACAAACTTCCTAAATTCACATTTTACCTACGCTGAAATAATCTAAAGAACTTCTGGATTCCCAAACTTTTGCATAACAATTATAAGCTACTAACACATTGAACAAACAAAAATACTTCTTTGTAATACTTCTTTCAACTTTGTAAAAGGTAACATCATTTCTTCAGTCAAGATTCTTCTTCTTTTTTTTATAAAGAGATTTTTGCCATAGGGTACGTGTGGTCACCAGAGAGAGAGACAGAAAGTGCGAAATCACCCCCCAGGGGGCATGGCCATCCAGCAATCCCTTCTCTTCCATTCTCCTTTCGGGATCTTGGGCACAAACACAGATGTGCCCAGCGTGAATTTTAAGCCGTCGGGTCCGGGTCTCAAACCATGGTCAACTATGTGGGAGTTCAGCAACGTAACCATTATGCCACCTGCTGGTACCCATGTAAGTCTCTATTTCTAAGAGCAGATTTCCCAGACCAGAAGATGGAGTAGTGGCTATGTTTCTGGACTACTGCAGTTTGAATTTCACCCTATGGCAAAAATCTCTCTTAAAAAACAAACAAACAAATAAATAAATAAATAAAAGCTTCAGCGGACAACAGGTAGCATGGTGGTTAAAGGCGCTGGATTCTCACATGGCTGACCGCAGCTCAAGTTCGGGACCTGGCAGCTTTCTCTCTCACTCTCACTTTCCCTTTCTCTCGGTCTCTCTCTGGTCAAATTAAAAAGATAATAATAACAAATAAAATTAAATTAATAAATAATTGATTCCTAAAAAAAATAAGAGCTTTAAATTTTTTTTAAATCTATTAGAATATAAGATATTTAAATATTTCATAATATCCAATATGGGTGAGTATTCAAAAAATAGTTAACCTCACATCATGTTGGGAAGAATACAAATCACTATTTTGGGGAACTCAATTTATAGTAATTACTAAAATTTAAGATGTATATACCTCTTGATACTGCATTTCCAAAATAATTTGTGTTTTTAATCACTAACTCTCCCACAAACACTACCAGAATTCTAAAGCAGCTTTAATGTAAGCATATATATACTATTAAAAATTTCAAAACAACTGGAACCAGCGGATGATGTAATGATTACATCACAACTCTCACTTGGCCAACTGTAGTTCGAGTCCTGGACCCAGCAGTTTGAAGATCACACTGGGCGTGTGCGTGTGTGCCCAAAATCCAAGGTAAGAATAGAGGAGAAGGGATTGCAGCATAGCATCTTCCCTGGGGATGGGGGTGACTTCCCGCTTTCTGTCTCTCTGTCTCTCCAGTAAGTGCACATGTCCTATAGCAAACATTTCTCTTAAAAAAAAAAAAACAAAACAAAACTCAAAACAATTACAAATAGCATGTTGACCTAATGCAAAGAAGAAATCCAATACTAAAAATCACCCATTTGTATATGAGACTTTAAAAAATGTATTTGTAAAAATAAATAAATAAATGGAATAAAATTCTGAAACACCAGAAATTTACACATTTAGCTTTATCCATTAAAAGCAATACGGAGGTCAGCAGGTGGCATGGTGGTTAAGGGTGCTGGACTACCACTTGGCCAACCATGATTCAAGTCCCGGACCTGGTGGTTTGCTCGCTCGTGCTCTCTCTCTCTCTCTCTCTCTCTCTCTCTGTGTGTGTCTCTTGCTCTTTGCTTTGTCCCTCTCTGGTCAAATTAAAAATAAAGTTAAATAAACTAATTCTTTTTTACAAAAAGCAATAGAAATGTATTCTATAAGTAACTACATTGTTAAAATCCCAATTTATAAAAATACTAGCAGACTTCAAAAAGTTTGTGGGAAAATGGAATTAAAGTACAAGTTTATTTTAGTGCAAAAAATTTTGATAGACACGCACAGCTTTTCTATAATGCATATTTCTACAAGCTTATTATTATTAAGTTTTTGTGATAGGGCAGAGAGACAGAGAGGGAAAAGAAATCACCCCTCAGAGGGATGACCATGCTGCAATCCCTTCTCCTCCATTCTCCTCTCAGGATTTTGGCACACATGGACACATATGCCTGGTGTGATTTTCAAGTTGCCAGCATCTGAGCCACCATGCCAACTGCTAGCCCCCTCTATATGAACTTTTTGAAGCCCTCCTATATATGGATGTAACTAAATCTTAAAAAATAATTCCAATTAAGTTAAAAATTTTAATTTAATTTTAATTCAATTAAGAATTAAGAATAATGGACTAATGGTCCAAAAAGTAAGCATGTAACGAACAGCTTACATTCATAAGTAAGCTCATACAATGGTGTGAAAGCAATTTCATATGTTGAGCAATTTTTCATATGCTTTGTTTGTTCGTATGTCTTCCTTGGAGAGTTGTCTGCTTAGCTCATTTGCCCATATTTTAATTGGATTTTTTTTTCCAGGTAAGTTACTTGAGTTCCCTTCCCTTCTGGTTATCAGTCCCCTATCTGAAGCATAGTTTAGCAATATATTCTCTGATTCCAAGGCTTGTCTCTTCACTCTAATTATTGTCTTTTGCTGTGCAGAAGCTTTTTAGCCTGATGTACTCCCACTTGTCTATGCTTTGGGGACCTTGTTTAAATATGTACCTACTCCAATGTCTCCAAGAGTTTCCCCCTGTGTTTTCTACCAATAGTTTTTGGTTTGGGATTTTATGTTTAGGTCTTTGGTCCATTTTGAATTCATTTTTGTTAATGGTGAGAGATAGGGGTCCAGTTTCATTTTTTTTCAAGTAGATATCCAGTTTTTACAGCACCATTTGCTAAAGAGATTTTCTCCTCCCTGCTAGACTGTCATGTGCCCTTTATCCAAAAAAAATCAGTTGGCTGTATGTTGTGGGATTTGTTTCTGGGTTCTCTATTCTGTTCCATTGGTCTACATGCCTGTTCTTGTGTCAGTATCATGCTGTTCTTATTATCACACTTTTGTAATATACTTTGAGGTCAGGAAAAATGAAAAATTATCTGTTGATGATAACATGTAGAGTAATATCTTTGATAGGACTAATACATAATGTATTCATATTGAGAAAATTCATTTTGTATGCTATAAAGATGCAAAGTGATTTAATGTAAAAAATATACAATTTAAATAAAATGAATTTTTAAAAAATGGTGCAAGGGTCAGCAGATGGCATGCTGGTTAAGGCTCTGGACTACCACATGGGCAGCTGCAGTTTGAGACCCAGACCTGGTGGCTTACTTTCTCATTTTCTCTCTCAGTCTGGTCAAATTAAAATAAATAAATGAAGAATTAAAAAAAAAAAAAAAAAAAACAATGCAGAAGAACAAACTCAAATTAGCAGTGTTTGCTTAAGACCTGAGGCACAGCACAGGCTCACGATATTGCATCTTTAGGACACTGCCTTACCTTATGCAAATCACCAGCTACCTTGAGTCTTTCACTTTGTTCAGTTGTAAGTTTTGTGAGTGTTTCATTTAACTGTGTCTTCAACTGTAAAAGCAAAGGAACACAACAGTTAAGTTAGTTTATATCCTTCTTTGATTATGCTGGTACTTCTAGGGCTGAAGAATATGAGAGAAAGAATGAGATTGCTACCAGTTATTATGCAGTGGATTAGCCAATATGTTGTACCAAATGTATAGAAAAAGCTAAGCAGTGGAGTTTCCCATCTGTAAAGCTAAACGTAAGAAAAGCTATAGCAATGAACTTAGAGTTTAGAGTAGAAAACTGTGAATACAAAACCCAAACCATCAAATTCCAATTAAGTCTCTTTTAAAAGTATCACTATTTGAGGCCAGCAGGTGGCGTAGTGGTTAAGGCCCTGGACTACCATAAGGCTGAACACAAAGTCCCAGATCCAGTAGCTTGAAATTCAGGCTTGGTGAATGTGTGTGTGCCCAAAATCCAAGTAGGAGAATGGAAAAGGGATTGCAGTGTGGCCATCCCCTGGGGAATGACTTCTCACTTTCCCTCCCTCTGACTCTCTCTCTCCGACTCTCTCTCTCCAGCAAGTGTATACACTATGGCAAAAACCTTTAAAAAAAAAATCACTATTCATAAAGTAAATTATTCCAAATTAAAAGGCAGGTAGAAATTTTCCCAATTAATTTAAGATTTTTTTATTCTATATAGTTCTGTTAAAAGGAGTTAACTGTGTAGTATTTTAAAAGACATTTGAACAGAACCAGGTAAGGAAAACCAAAAATTTAAATGTTGACCATCTTTTAAAATTTTTAGTATACTAAGAGACTACACTGGCCTGTAAGTTACACCAACAAGAAATGTTTTAAGAGATACTTTTCAATAACCAACTTGTCAAAACAATTATAAACTCTATAAAATTCTAGTGCCAATATATAGTGTGTGCCTCTTCTCTGACAACTATTCTAATTAAATAAGAAACATGGCCTATATTATCAATCAGTCAATAAATAAATAAATTTTCTTATTAGACTTATCAGGTTAATTACTTTTTGCCTCCCACCCATAGGCATAACTTTCAAACAGTTCTGGAGATTCCCAAGGGGAAAATACGAGTCACTGACGTGGGTCAGTGGTGCAGCTGTGGTATACTGAACCCACAAAGGGGGGCTCGTCCTGACTCACTTCCTGGGCCACCTCTGCATGCTGGGCAGGCACGGGTGCACAAGGCTGGGACTGGTGGTGACACGGGGACCCTGCTGGGGGAATCTGTTCCCCCCTTCCTTTCTTTTCTCCCTCTCTCATGGGAGAAATAAATATTTTAAAAACAAACAAATAAAACCCCAAACACTGATATTTAAAACTGGAGGGAGAATTAATGGGGGTGGGGGGGCTTCACTTGAAAATTTTACTTAGGGAACACTATTTAAATACCTAAATGGCTTGTTCCTTTACTTAACTCTGAGTTTAATAACCTACATCAAAGAGGATAAACTTTTGGCCCAAGGACACACTAATACAAAATTACTTTATCTTAAAATGTGGCACCTGTTACCCTGAGCATGACTAAAGATTTCAAACTCAAGACAAAACAGAAAAGCAAAACCAACTCAAAATGGTCTCCTGAAAGAAGAGGGATAAAAAACTACAGCGAACAGTCGGTTGAAAGGAGATAAAACCACAATCCTGTGGGTTTGATGCTACTGTAGAGTCAGTCACTGAGCACCAAAATTAGAAAGTAAACTCTCCAACAACTAGTTAGAAATTATTTTTTAAAAAATACATTAAAGGGTAACAATGACATATCACAGTCCTAATCTGTGCACTATATAGCAAATATATGCATAAAACCAGTCTTACACTATCATGGAAATTAATTTTTTAAATACTGGTAAATAAAACAAATATTTATAAAGTAACAAGAGGTATGTTTAGCGCTCTGTGTATATATTTCATATAGCCTTGTACTGAAAACTGATGTCTATAAAACACTGTCATAACACAGAAGACCAACCATAAATGAGGAAGTTTCCTTTGGTAACATGTATTAATGAGAACATCAATTAATTAATGTTAAGTGGAGAGGGGGAATCTTTGAGTAAGGAGAAAACTTACTATAATCTCCTATAGTTTATTTAAATATCATTCAAAAATTGAATCCCATGCTATATCAATATTTGTCACAGAAAGACATAATGATCACTGTTTCGATCAGAGAACTGGACAGTCGTATTTCTCTAACTGCTAAGCCTGCCACAACCAGTGTACATTTAAGACCTAAAATACAGGGCACTATACTGCATGGCTTATGACATTTAGCTCACTCTAGTCATCTATAACATAAGTCTATGCTTTTAGGGTTACTATACTTTAAATAACATATTGAAAATACAGGATTTTACAGCTTTTGATTGTTTATGACTTATACAAAAAACAGTCAAAGCAAGAAACAAGACTAGATTACTACCCTTGAATAAAAAGTATATATCTTCAAACTTCAAGTGTCTTCTCCCAGGTTAAAACATGAGGCCCAATTCTATCACTAATTAGGACAGTCTGAGAAGAGAATCTTCACAACTCTATCTTTGTTTCATTTCTTTATTCACTGAAAATATGCTGCTCAAGAAATTAGGCTTTACAAAATATGAAAATTTTTGAGAAAGAGTTGAAAGCCAAACATGCCATTGTTAGGAGCTAAGAAAAGAAGGATCGTCGTAGGAGTAAGGAAAGAAAGACCATCTCAGGAGTCATCAGAATATGAAGATATCTCAAACTTACAAAAATGCCAAGCTAAAGATGTTAGCAAGGAAAAGTTGGGGTGATTTCTCCACACAATACAGGTGTTTTCAGAGCCTACTTGATACCCAGTGGAGAATAAGCATCTTACCAAAGTTAGCTCTTCATTCTGTCTTACTGCTTCAGAATATGAATCATCAAGTTTTTTCTGCAATTCAGTCAACAGATCTTTCAGCTGCAATGAAGTTTAGAGTTTAAGATTGATCTCCTCGTGATTTCCCAAGTTTTGTATGCTACTCGGAAGCTCTGGCACAAACAACTTATACTGAAATATTTTATTACTCTGTTATGAACTCAATCTGAATTAAGAGGTAAGGTTGAAAAAATTCCATTATAAATACCTCTCTGACTTCTGTAACGTAAGTAGATCGTTCAATTTCTGCCTTCTCTAGTTCCATTTCCAAATGTTCTCGTTCTCTTCTCAGCTAGCAACGCAACAAAGAAAGAAAAGTTAACGCATTTAAGACTTACTTCCATGATATTTCTCCACAGTGGAAAGTTATGACACTTATGAATATAAACCTACATCAACTCAAACACTACCCGAGATATTAAGAGCCCAACTATATCATTAGATAAAACTAAATGGAAAACACAAATCTTCAGAAAACCCTTAATGTTAAAAATGAGTCCACAGGTTACAAGCCAAATGATTAAATAACATACAGTTTCAATATCTTTATTTTCTCTTCTTAATCTCTCTAGCTCTTCTTCTGAAGATGTGAACAGTAACTGCATCTGAAATATGAAACAATTATATTACCAAGGAAACCACCAAGGATACACAAGTTTCTACCTTATAGTATTTTGAATCAATTAAAAAATATTACATAGGCTTCAAAATGCATCTTATTTAAAGTCACTCTGAATTTTAAATAGTCTTAAAAATGAGAGTCATATTTAGCATGACTTAAATTATGTTCGAAATCTACACCATTTATATACTGTATTAGGCCCAGCTAAAAGTGTTTACTACTTTAATCAACAATTAAATAAAAATTAGCTGTTTTTGATCCCCAAATGAATTCACTTAAGAGTATTACTGATACCCTACATTCTATAGACACTGGCCTAAGAAAATGGCAATTCTTTAAAAAAAGAACGATTCTTTATTTAACTTTATTTATTCACTTTCTTATTTATTTTAATTTGACCAGACGGACATAGTGAGAGATAGAGAGGGAAAGTGAGAAAGCAAGCCGCCAGGTCCAGGATTTGGCATGTGGCTGGCCATGTGGGAGTCCAGTGCCCTTAACCACCATGCCACCTGCAAGCCCCAGAAATGGCACTTTTTACCACACTCCAATACACAGCAGAAAAATTAAGACTGCACAATAACATTAAGTCCTCATGAACAGAAAATGCTTTATTAACTTCTTCTTGAACACTAATATCATGGGTGAAATATAAATATTTTAAAACTAACTTTGAATCCAGAGTTCTTCACTATCTGGTACCAAGTAGTAGTGGCTCGATAAGTTTCAAAACATTTTACATTCCACATCATTATCCTTTAGTCATACGCTAAACCAAAATGAACCAAGATTTTGAAACCTGGGTGGGCAATCAGAATCACCCAGTGTTCATTAAAACACAGATTACTGGGCCCCACTCCAGAGCTTCTGATTCACAGGTCTGTGGTGGAGCCCAAGAATGTACAGTATCACAATTTCCTAAGTGATACTGATGCTGCTCATCCAAGGGCCACACTTTTAAGGACCTCTGCTCCAAGCTCCCCTGCTCTAAATACCTGCTTAATGGTCTTTTGTGATTCATCAACCTTAACTTTCCATTTATTTTCTTCTTGCTCCACACTTCTCTGTAGTTTCTGTAAAATTCCTTCCTACAGACAAAATTACAGTTGTTAACTATTTAGGCCATAAATGAACAAGGTAATAATTTAAAAATAAAAACAAAATAAAGATGAAAAATAATTTCCTACTGTTTCTGCAAGGACAGATTTATATTTTTCACACTCCAGCTGTAACAATGTGTGCATTTCTTCAGCTTCTTTCAACTTGTGCTCTAGAATCTGCAAAAAATGAAATAAAGAAAAATGATCTAATTTCCCCAGAAAGCTTGTACTTCAAATTTGTTTTAGTACTTAATGATGTATTATATATTATTTCAGGTTGTTTTATAATGAAACACTATAGTTCAACCTTCCTAAGTAGTAAAGAAGTTCAATGATCTTTGGGTCATTCAGTTTCTACTAAATAAAACTCTTTAAGTCTGCTTCCTACAAAACACAATACACAATTTTATATTAATAGGCTTTTTAACTTTTTAGCTGAATGGTAAAAACCAAAGCAGATTCACATGTGAAATAAGATCACAATCCTAAGCTACACACATGGGAAAGAGGATTTTATTCATGCAAACTAGGATAAAAGAAAATAATAATAAACCTTCCCCAGTTACAGTTGCCAAAAATAAAAACGAGACCAGTTTCTGAATATTCCTAATGATTTATTTGGAGACTCTTCAGCAAACCAGTGAAATTCGACCTACCTATTGCCACTGATCTTTACATTTTAAGCCCAGGCTAAAAAGAGTAAAGGATAATTAAATATTCAGTTTTAGAAATAAATAGAGACATTAGGTGAACATTAGCTTTCTACACAAATCAAAAGCAGGTAAGACTTACTATATTTCCACTAAAATGTACACAAGATGAAATCACCTTCTATTTCTCAGATGATCATTGTTCTACTAATAATATATCCTTTATCTTTCCCAAGATCACAAAGACAAGTTCGGATTTGTTTTTACTCTCAACATTTGGTTAAAATACAAATAGTTCTTTATCTTGAACTAACCTTAACTGCCTCTGAATCAGATGTTTCAGCTACACATTCTTTTGCCTTCTTTTCAAATCCATGCAACCATTCACTATAACTCTGAGGAAGAGAGAGGTTGAAATCATCAATTTCCAAAAAACAACTAAATGAAGTAAATCAAACATGTAAAATATCAGTAATCAAATTAAACAATTATAAAAGAAACCTACATAGACACCACCACTAAAACTTTCAAAAACTTTAACTTTCATAAGTTGAAAATAATCTAGTCCTGAAAATGAATAACAATATACTACCTATGTGCTACCAAAATAAAATACTTTTCCTGACCAAGCTATTTGCAACTGAATTCTGAACTTGTAGGTAGATGATTGGGGCTCAAATCTGGCCTCTTACCACTTACTAGTAGCAGACCTAAAAGACTCAATTGTTAAAAAAAAAAAATCTGAATAATTTTTCAACTTTTTGGGTAAAGTAATTCTTGAAAATTAAGTATTTTAAATATAAAAACTGAGAAGTCAACTGAAAATGTTTTATTCAAAGGATTTCAATTCAAGTTCTATGAAGGTGCTCCAGGAATTCTGGTAATACTTCATTTAAATCAAAAATTATAAAGTATTTTGAAAATCATGATGAGAAATTATATGTATACATAGACATTTGTGCCTTTAAATCCACCAAAAACTCAATTTGTGCTGTAAGCTAGGTGATGCAAACAATGCATGTATTATAGTTTTAGCTATTATTTTAAGATTTTTAAATAAACTACCCTAATTTTTTATGCTTATATGAATTTTAAATTCTGATAAGAGTATTTGTTAGATATTACAAACCAAATTTCTTTTTTTTAAAAAAAAAAAAAAAATGGTTTTTGCCATGGGGCCAGCATATGGCACAGTAGTTATATCGCTATACTCCCACACAGCCAACTATGGTTTGAGTCCCAGACCTGGTGGCTTGAAAATCAAACTGGATGCATGTGCATGCATGCCCAAGATCCCAGGAGAAGAATGGAGAAGAGGGGATTTCAGTATGGCCATGCCCCACCGGGCAGTGACTTCTCACTTTCCCTCTCACTATCTCTGTCTCTCTCTCTCTCCCCCAGAGGGGACACACACCCTATGGTAAAAACCTCTAAGAAAAATAGAAAAAGTAAAAAGTGTTTTTGCCATAGGGCACATGAAGTTGCCAGAGAGAGACAGTGAGAGAGAAAATAAGAAATTCACCTCCCACCCCATGGGCACCCCGCAATCTCTTTCGGATTTTGGGTGTAAGGTTACACACGTGACCAGCTGCCAAGTCCTGGACAAGGACCAGGGCCGGCCAAGTGGGAGTCCAGCACCTAAACCACTACGCCAAATTTCATCTTATTCCTAAGTCTTTGGTTTAGTTTAACTCAAGAAAAAATAACTCATGAAACTTCTATTAACTGCTATAATATAAAGCTTTACAATGTGGCTCAATTAGAACTCTCTATAAACCATAACATAAGAATAAAAAAAGAAGAGTGGATACTTAGATCACCCAACGGTAGAATATTTTTAACATCAAATTAGTTTTAAAAGTCATTCCATTTTTTTTTTATTTTTTTGAAGAGGTTTTTGCTATAGGGAGCCTACGCTCGCCAGACAGAGAGACAGAAAGCGAGAAATCACCCCCCAGGGGGTATGGCCACGCCTCAATCCCTTCTCCTCCATTCTCCTCTCGGAATCTTGGGCACGCACACACACGCACCCGGCATGAGTTTAAGCCATCAGGTTCGGGACTCGAACCACGGTCGACTACATGGGAGTTCAGCAACATAGCCATTATGCTAACTGCTGGTCCCAAAAGTCATTCCATTTTTTAAAAAATATATTTCCCTATTATAAATTTGAACAACATTAAATACATAGTATTAAAATTCCATTTAAAAGCTTCAAATAGTGGGATCCAACACAAAGTAAAATCAGATGAAAAACTAACTTAGTTGCTTAAAAAGTGTGTAAACTTCCCTCCAGGTCATAACATTTGGATTTTGCCTATGCTGATTTGCTTAGCAAAAAGCAACAACAAATAGTAAAAAATTATTTCATCTATAAAAGCCCTTTTAGATCTACTAATTATGTTTTAATATTAATGAAGCTTATTGCTATATTTATATAATAAGGTATATAGAGTCTTCATATTTTTAAAAACCTAAACTGTTAAACTATTAAGTAGCACATAGGAAGTTTAATATATTTCTTATATGCAGACTACATGCAGAAATCTTCAACTTTTAGCAAGTGTATGAACAAAAGCTAAAGAATGTCATGGATGTCTTACAGTGATTTATAAATATTTAGTGTCAAAAAGATCTGGTTACTGAGGGTGGGTAGTGCTTTTGTTAAAAAGAAAATTTTTAATACTAGTGATCTTACACAATCTTACACAGACAGACATTATTAACCTAACTCTCTTGGCATAAAATACTTTCAAATTGGGGCCAGCAGGTGGTGTGGTGATTAAGAGTGCTAGACCCCTACATGGCTGACCAAGGTTCAAATGAGTCCCAGACCTGGTGGCTTGCTTTCTCATGTTCTCTGTCTCTGTCTCTCTTTGTAGAAAAATTAAATAATAATGATAAATACAATTAAATAAATTAAAAAAAAATACTTTCAAGTAAGTCTCCAAATCTTGAAGCCATCAGGTGACAAGGTGGTTAAGGTGCTGGACTTCCACCTGGCTGACCACAGTTCGAGCCCCAAACCTGATGGCTTGCTTTCTTACTCACTCTCTGGTGAGCACAGGTACCTTATATTTAAAATAACAATAAATAAATAATTCATTTTTTAAATCTCCAAATTTATTTTAATAAAATATTAAGTAGAAATAAAAACAGGCTACAGCCACAAAGAAAAAATATGATACATTAATCACAATCCTTTCTCCTAGGTTCAATGTAAGAACAGTATTAGAACCAATAGAGTATCTGAATGTGTATTCCCAGTGCAAGATATTTCACCAGTGAAACTCAAAGTGACGGATATCTAAACTGACCACACCTGAGTGTATCCTCAATAGTTACAGTGGGAATAACATCATTTTCACTCCTCATTTGAATTAAATATAAGCGACAAGTAGGTTGTCTAAGAGAACACGCAGCTAAATGTAGACTACACACAGAACAGGTCAGCAGGTTCATTTACACCACCATCACTCACACCTAAAGGAGCCAGAGCTCCTTGGGTGATTCCCAGTTTGGGGCAGGAAATGTATACAATATCAGGAATACTTTGTCATGACACAAAGAACAGAAGCTATCAAAGCCTAGCAGTGTTCTGTCAAAGACTTAGCAGTCAGCCTAAATTAACCCTAATAGGCTGAAAAAAAAAAAAAAAAAAAAAAAAGAAAAAAAAAAAGCTGAAAAAAAAAAAAAAAAAAAAAAGTCAAGCAAACATCACAGCCCCCCTAGTGGAGTGCACCCACCACCAATGGTCTTGCCCCACTCCACCCTACCTCCGACTAGGCTCCTACCAACTACCAATTATGAGATACACAAGGGATAGGGGGACATGCAGATACCACAGGGATACCATCGGCTAAATCCGAAGTGTAGGAAACTGTACAGGAAACCAACAAGTCTTTTAAAAATGGAGCTAAGGGTTGGTGAGAAATAGAGGGGAACTGGTGGAATAAAAGAGATCTAAGACATTTCATACCAGATACATGTAGACCCTACTTGGATCCTGATTAAAATGAACCACAATAAGTTGTTATTATTTCATTAAAATAGATCATTTATATGACTACTGAGAAATGCAAGCATCGACTAGATACATGAAATTATATATTTTTAAATATAACAACTTTTCTTTTTTTTTGAGAGATTTTCACTGTAGGGTGCATGCGCTCGCCAGACACACAGAGACATAGAGACAGAAAGCGAGAAATCACCCCCCAGGGGGGATGGTCACACCGCAATCCCTTCTCCTCCATTCTCCTCTCGGGATCTTGGGCGCGCACGCACACGCGCCCGGCGTGAGTTTTAAGCCACCGGGTCCGGGACACGAACCGCGGTCGACTACGTGGGAGTCCAGTGACATAGCCATTACGCTAACTGCTGGTTCCCAATATAACAACTATTTTTAAAGGAATTCGTATCTTTTAGAAATACGTACTGAAGTATTTACAGATGAAGTGCTCTTGTGTTTTGTATCTTACTAACAGGGCAGGGTGGAGTAAAACAAGATTCCTTATGTATTTATTTATTCCATGTATTGATAACTGGGTATATAAGGCTCATTATGTTATTTTCTCTAGTACTACTTCAAGTAAAGCAAGTTGTTTCAAATTAACTTCAAGACCTTTGCTGTAAGAACAGATTATCAAAATCTTGACTTTTGAAATGTATAGTCTGGTTTACAGCATCAAATACATTAAGAAATAAAATTTTGCTGATATTTATAAGTAATCATTAACTTTCAGTTTTGAATAAAGCCATTAAGACCATAAAGGTATTGGCAGAGAATCAAAACCAAGTGCACAGTACAAATGCAGCGTATTCACAACTTTCTTGAATAAGATGTCATGCTAAAAAAAATAATAATAAATTATTCTTACCAAGTTACAAGGGACAGACACCTTTGGAAATAATTTTTTGAGAACTTCTTTAGCCTCCAATTCAACCGCTTCTATAAGCTGTTGTCTTTCCTAAAGCAGAAGAGGAAACAAATCAAGCTTACAATATTACAGCATTTTAAAAAGAAAATGCTATGGTCTTTTTAAGCTCTAGGGAAGAAAAAACTCGGTTTAAAACATTATTTTAATACTGACAAATGTTGAAAGTTCACATTTAAGATATTTAAATGTTTTCATAAGAAAAAATCTGCAAAATCTCTAAAGCATCCTAAATGGCAAATATTAATCAAGCCAAGCAATATCTGACAATATGGACATTTTCTTTGACATTAGAAATCGTGCTTTATGTCTCCAGGAACAATTCAAACACGAGCACACGCACGTGCGTGCACACACATACCAAAAACAAGAAAACTCCCTAAGCTAAAACTTTACCAACTGCTGGTGCTAAAAATAAAAATTAAAAAATTAAAATTAAAATAAAAAAAATATATATATATGAGCAAAATAAGTGAGGTTTACTGGCTGGTAAATCTTACCAAACATACATCACTGATAAGACTACAATGTCATAGGATTAAAATGGCAATTTTCAGATGTCTGTCTTCAGATTCTTTCAATGTCAGGTGAAGCTATTTATGCTAAACAAAGCAAAAAGGACCATCAAAATTTGATGAGTGGTAGAAATGAAAAAAGAGGAAAGAGAACAAGGAAAAACTGATAGTATATTACTTCACTAATGTCAAGCATCGAGATGACTAATTTTTTTTTTAACTTTTTTTTAATTGCCAAAGAGTGTATGTACTTGCCAGAGAAGAGAGACAGAGAGTAGGTGAAAGTATTCCCCAATAGGGTATAGTCACACCATAATCCCTTGTCCTCCATGCCTCCATCCCACCAAGATTTTCAGCATACATGTACACATGTCTGGCATGTTTTTCAAGCCCCCAGAGCCAGGATTCAAACCACGGTTGGCCATGTAGGAACTGGCTCCCTTAACCACTAGGCTATGGAGCCAACCCAAGAAGACTCACTTTGATACTTGTATATTAAAGCTAGGTATTACAAATGTCTAAGTCTAAAATGCTGATTTTACATACAAGTCTAGTAGATAGCAATTATAAATTTAAACCATGGTTTGTCAAAATTAGGGTAATGATTACACACAAAATTTAAAAATCTAATATCCAAACTATCTCTGCAAGGTTTAAAAAAAAAAAAGACATCTATTAAAAATGCGCATCTAAACCAAACCAAGAAAATCACCTATAAAGAGCACTCATTAAGTTCAACAGGTAACAAAAAAGCAAGCAAGCTAGCAACATTTCAACCATAAGTTTCCCCCATCACTTAGATGTGATCTCTTAAATTTATTATGGATTTAAGGTGTACACACTTCAATTTAAGAAATCTAATCCTATGAAAATCTAATTTCCAGAATAATAGTTAGCAATTTCAGTCATATTCTATAAATTAAAAAACTGGAGTTTTTTTTTTTAAGGATTGATGGCAGTAATTTTTTTAAATACTACCAACTTCCAGGGTTTATTCTCTATTGATGTTAGAGCGCAAGCAACACACACACACACACACACACACACACACATACAGAATACCGTCCAGATGGTGTGGTCATGCCATGATCTCCTACCTCTAGCCCTTCATACCCTAGGCACACACCTGCAAGCCCAATGTGTTTCGGGCTTAGGCTGGCGATTCAAAGCACTATCACCATGTGGGATCTGGCTTCTTTTGAGTAGTGCATTACCACAGAGTCACGGAGCTAGCCCAATATTTTTAAAACAGGTGCTTTTGTGGTATATTTTCAATAATTCTGTAAAATCTAATAATTTTCTGGAACATATCTAAGTAAAGTATGTTTGTTCATAAAAATATTTCAGAGACAAATTAATAAGTAATTTTTATCATTACCAAAGAAGATCCAGAACAACTATTAAAGAAAACCAGTTAGGAAAATAGATACTTGAAAACTTAAGAGAAAAAGATCCTAACTAAAGGAACCAAGTATCTAACTTGTAATTAAGAGTCATATAATGGTTGTTTTGTTTTGTTTTGTTTTGTTTTGTTTTGAGAAAGAGAGATATTTACTATATGGTGCATGTGCTCACTGGAGAGAAAGAGAGAAATCACTCCTTGGGTAGTATAGACACACTGCAATCCCTTCTCCTCCATTCTCCTTTCGTGATTGTGGGCATGCCCACACATGCACCCAGTATGAGTTTCAAGTCATCAGGTTCAGGACTCAAACCATGGTTGACTATGTGGGAGTCCAGTGCCTTAACCACTATGCCTGCTACCTGCTGGCCCCAATGGTTTTATTCTTTACCAACAGTTTTAGCTAAACAGTTTTCATCTAACATAGAAGTTTGGTTGTAGATAAAACTTTCCATTCAATTTTACCACTTGAGAAAGATCTAATATTGGAAATTGCTATTAATTTACTTACCATCTTCACCTAAGTGAAATATGTATAAAGTATTTTTCATGTAAACCTGTCACTATTTACTGTAACTCTTTAAGAGTATTTTTTAAGTACTTTAAAAATGACCCTGGGCACAGCTTCTATGGTGCAATTGGCAGCATACCAAATTTTAACGCTGGAAGTTACACACAGGATGTGCACAGGTGTCCACGATCCTGAGAAGCTACAGGGCTAGGGGAAGGGGATCATGGCATGAGGAGACCCTGATGGGAGAGTGCTTCTCTCTCTCTCCCTCTCTGTCTTACACACATACTCCCTCATGAAATGAAACAACAAAAACCACACTAGAAAGGCAGTAGTCACCTCCATTATATCACTTATTTCTAGCATATAATATGCTAAAGGTGTATTACACAGTTCCTTCTCCTTACAGCACGATTTGTGGCACTTGGTCAATCTACATGACTTTACACTTATGCTATCTGAGGATGTCTAAATTTCATTGAAAAAGGAGAAACTGAATTCTACTCTCTGTTGATTGCTGCAAGAAGCTATCAATCAATCACACAGACTAGCTTTCTTTTGGAATCACAGTATGCAAGTCCCTACAGCAGGTGGCACTTAGCTTCTTGCAGGAATGGCATGACTAACACATCTTACATACCCAATCTCATGAACAAAATAAAAGTGTAGGTCTTTACAGCAAAAAACAAAGCTATAAAGATAACTGGAAATCATACCAAACCCTCCCTGCTTACAGTGAACTTACACCAAAAGACTGCAAGCACTTCACAATGAAACAAATAATGTCCTGGCTGGCCAAGATTCTTCTCATCTATGGCCTTAAGTTCTCTGGTCCTAACACTTGCCAGCTATCTCAAATTTAAGTTTTAGTAGAAATTATGGCCAAGCGTATAGGTATATAAGTAAAGATAAACCTATTATACTAAAGGAAATGTTTTGAAAAATTATAGAACTACAGTCTTCACAGTCCTTCAAATGTCAGTAATACTTGTATTTAAAATTCAATACATCCCTTGGCATACAAAAATACTTGAACAATGTTGATCTGAATCATATAGGTTACTTCATCTGCAAAATTCAATATTCCTGTTCTACATTTATTCTTAGTGGGAATTTTCAAAAATACTCAACTGGCATTGCTCAATTCCTTCAATCTTTAAAAACAACTTCTCCATTATAATTCACTAGAAGTCTTAATACCCAATGAAACAAACTGAGCTCAAGAATGCCCTTCATTGTTCTGAGGACAGAGGGGAATTCATGTTTCAGGAACACATCACATACAATGGTCGAAGGAAATATCCCTTAGGAATAACATTACATACTAAACGTGACGTAACTGTCCAGCCATTTCAATAGCTAGTTTGAGTCTATCTTCTCTAAGCGACCATCCTACTGGTAACACACCCAGAATGGATCCCTTTCTATATTCCTTCTGTCATTTTTCTACCTTGTCTGAATCATCTTTGTATAACCCCCCAAAACCTAGTTCACTGTGCAACGTGGGTACATCTCACATATTCAAATGTGTTTGTTAATTCAACTACATTTCTTTTGTTCACAGTTTTCACCAAAGTTCTCTTAACTAACCCAAAAGGCTCACACTGACAAGGGTTTTGCATGGGTAACTTAGGTCTTCTTTAAAGTAGTGCTTGCCAAAGCACAATCAGGTTATCACAACAAATCAGCATGTCCCAAATTAAAGCTTCGAGGAGTAGATGAAAAAAGCAGAGATGAGAAAGGTGATAAATGGGGATGGTAAGATTTTATATTTAAATTGCAGTAAAATTAAATGCTTTAGTCTGATTTTAATACAAGCTGCAGATTTTCTCTGTTCAGTGGATTGTTTCTAGGAGTTAGCATTACAACCTTGGAAGTCTTGTTCACTTTGTCCTGCAGCATCTTTTCAGTTGATGCCAATGCTTCCATTGCTTCCCAGTTTTTCTCCCGAAGGTCCTAATCATTTTTAGAAAGAATGATTTCAGTTTATCCATTATTGAAAGATTTTTGCTTTTTTACTTCATCAGTATTTTGCACTGCATTTAAATGCTGGTTACTGCAAAATTATTTCAATGGGAAAATATGTATATTAGCAAAAAAATAAAAAGCAATGTTTAGAAGTTTGTATGAGAAAATAAAGATGCCCGCTTTCTGTGTTTTAGTATACATGGCAAATATGCCTGCTTTTAAAAAATTACTGTGCACATGTGACAAAGAAGAAAGCACTCAAAAGTAAACACACAAACCAGGATTACAAATATGATTTCAGGTACACCAAACATTAGACAGTTAGGGACAGAGCAAACACATAGTACTGTAAAAAGCTTTATCTGTAATTTTTTAAACAAGATCCATTATCACTCATGGACTTCTCACTGCAGAATAACATTTTTTCCTCTAACTATGCTTTTAAAAAGATTAATACATTTCCAATTTAGCTAAGAATGACACAGTAGCTCTCTGCTTTGTACCTTTCTTGGTATGGTCACATGTATGCCATACAACACCTGACCTGAACCGTACAACCTGTTCAGGGAGGCACCTGGTCAGGCTGGAAAGCTAACACACACATGCTTGGAGGTGAAACACAGGTAACTGAAAATCGAGCTCTGAAAGATCTAAACTTTAACCGTATTTCTTAGCAAATATCAAGACAAGCCACCATTTCTTTAGAACTAGTAATCTAAAACTATAAAGAACAAACAAAAAAATAAAAAGCCAATAATTGCCATTTATTGAATGCTTAATTAAGTGCCAATCTCTATATTTGGTGCTTCACAAATTCTCATGAATCCTTAATAACAATCTTATGAGGCATTTCTTCCCATCGTATGGGCAGGGAAACCACAGCTCAAGTAGGTTAAAAAATTTGGCCAAGTGTACACAGCAAAGAAGTGGCAGAATCCTAATGGACTGCTGCGGCAATCTGCCGGCCTCCCATGTCCTGGCTCTTCTCACAGGCTTCAATGCCTCCAGCGGCAGCGGCCGCGGGCGGGGCGCTTTTGTCCG